TAATCCTAGCATTTGGGAGGCTGAGGCAGGAGGACTGTTGCAAGTTTGAGACCAGCCTGGACTACAAAATAAACTCAAGGCTGGCCTGAACTGCATGTGAGACCCTGTCTCAAAAAGACAAAAACAAAACAAAACAAAACAAAAAACAAACAAACAAAAACAACAACAAAAAACCCCCAACTTGTCCTATTCAAAGTGAAACACAACAAACATTAAATAGAATTCATAAAACATTGGGATTCTTGGCATCAATTTATTCTGTGAATCTAAGATAGTATTTAAAGGGGTGGCAGTGACAGGAAGTTAGTGTGCAAGGGGCTTTTTGGGGTGCTGATTCTCTTCTTTGTCTTCATCTGAGTGTTGCTCATACAGCTTGTTTGTAAAAATTCATTATACATTACATTTATTATAGGTGTATGAGGTGGATTAATGGTCAATTTGTAACACACAGCTGAATTGAATCAGTGTGGTTCTGGGTGTGGAAGGCCCACTTGAGGATTGTTGCCAACAGCATGAAAGAAGTAGAAGGGAAGGTGGTATGCTGTTGCTTCTCCTGGAGAAGCTTGTCACACTGTTTTTTGTGATATGAACTCAGGTGTTCTCATTGTTGGAGGAGCCTGGGTCCTTGCTGTCACTGAAGATGGCTAGTTCTCTGAGGGAGCTCTGGTCCTTACTTTCAGCATCACTTCCTAGCTTCTACCACTAACTTTTCAGCCTTCCCAGCACAGATTCTTGGTACAGACTTGCCTGAGACATTGTTGTGGCCTCTAGTTGGACCTGTGGAGGACACTGCCATGGGTCCTAGGTACTAAACTGGATTCATGGAGGACACTGCTGTGGAATCCAGGTCCTCAGTGGATCCTTTGGGTCCCTAGTGTGTGGACACATTTCTTATACTCCTTTGCATTTGACCTTTTGGGTGAATACTATAAAATGATCCTATCAATTATGTGTTCTGTATTAAATCTATTCCCTTGCAAACTCTGACTACAATAGCATACTTTTATGTTTACATATTATACATATTATACTTTAATAAAAAGTTAAAAAATTGTAGTCCTGCTTATATGGTGGTAGTTAACATGTCCTAATCATAATGAAGCACTTTTTTTTTTTTTGCTCATTCACTTTGAATGAAGTTAAGGGTTGAATTTTCTTACTTTGCAAAGGTCTAATAGCCATAATGCTGTGGTAAAGCACAATACCCAAGTACTATGATCCCCAAATCTTTAAGGTGTATACTCATTATTTCATTTTCTTTTTCTCAGTTGTTCATCTATTTGTCTGTTTACAAAAATGTACCACACTTTTAAGTATTGATGGCTTCTGTGTGTTCAGGGACTAAAGATATAAAGAGGAACCCAGTACCTGCCCATGTCAGAGAATGGCTAATTATCATGCCCATTCCTTCTTTTTCTGGTCATGCAGTTAAAACTTTATTTTCCAACTTCCCCATGGTTAGGAGTGGCACGTGGCTATATCCACAGCCTATGCAGCAGGAGGCTTGCTCCATAAAAACTACTACATAATATAATATTCTGTCCATACTTTACTGTGGTTTGATTAAAGTACAGTAACTGAAAGCTAAGTGCTCAGAAAGCTAAGTGCTCGGAGTCACAAGATGGAAGAAGTCTTAATCATTATCTTGCTGTATACTTTTGAGGGCCACTTGCTAATTAAGAACTTATTTTATTTACTGTTTTAGTTTTAAAGAGAAAAAGTAATAGTTTTCAAAAACAGGTTAGTAAGAGTACAATAATACACTGCATGTTGTCTTTATAGTATATTAAGAGTACAAGATAGATATATGTCTAAACAATACTAGTGCAAACCTTTCTTTTCAATGAAGTATGAGAAATTAGCAATGTAACTAGATAAACTATCTTGTGTATACGTGTATATTTTTCTTTTTCTCTTTCTCTTTTCCCTCATCTGTTTATCTTTTCAATAGTTTCTTCCTAATTCAAAATATCTAGTGTGCATTTGTTTTTTTTCTTTTGGTACTGGGAATTGAACTCAGGATCTTGCACTTGTTGGGCAAGTCCTGAGTTTGCTTGTGCCCTGAACTATATCCCTGCTCTCCCCATTGTATATTCTGAATCCTATTTACTGGTTCAGTTTCTCACACTAGTGAAACAATATGACGTTTGCACATGTGGGTCTGATTTATTTCACTTATGAGTATGGTCTCGAGTTGCATACATTTACCTATAAAAGTCTCTAGTTTACCTTTCTTTATGGCTGAATAATAATCCATTACATAAAATTCTCATCTTTTTTATCCATTCCTTGGTTGATGGGCATCTGGGTTATTTCCAAGATTTAGCTACTACAAATAATGCTGCTATAAACATGAGTGCACATATATCACTGTGGTATGATGTTTTTAATTCTTCTGGGAAGATACACAGAAGAGGAATAGGTGGTTCAAATGGGACCTCTAATCTTAGTTTTTTAAAGAATCTCCACACTGATTTCCACAGTGGTTGCACCAGTATACACTCCCACCAACAATAAAGAAGGGTTTCTTTTTCCTCATAGACCCTCCAATGTTTGTTATTGGTTGATTTTTTCATGATAGGCATTCTTTTGGAAGTGAGATAGAATCTCAGCATTTTTTTTTCTTTCTCAGAATTGGTTTAATTTGAATCTCTCAAATGACCAAAGATATGGAACGTTTTTTCATATATTTGTACTTCTTCATCTGAGAAATGTGTGTTCATCTCAGTTGCCCATTTTTGGATTGGGTTCTTTGCATTTGAGGGGTCTGATTTTCCTCTTCTTTGTACGTTCTAGATACAAGTCCTTTGTCTGAGGGAGAACTGGTTACAATTTTTTCCCATTCTGTGGGTTGCCTTTTTACTCTGTCATTTGTTGTGCAAAAGCTTTTTATTTAAAAAAATTTTTTGTGAAAGTTCTTTTAATAAAGTGAAATTCCATTTGTTGATTCTTTTATACTTCCCTTACATGCTGGGTTTTTTCAAGCAGTCTCTGCCTGCACCTATGTCTTTGAGATTTCTACCTATTTTCTCTTTCAGTAAATTTACTATTGCTATTTTAACATTTAGATTTTTGATCCATTTTGATTTTAGTTTAGTGCTTGGTAATAGCATGGGTCTAGGTATAGTCTTTGGCATGTGGAAAGCCAATTTTCCCCACAATAGTCATTAAAAAAGCTATCTTTCTTCCAGTGAACATGCTTGGTTCCTTTGTCAAAGATAAGGTAGCTGAGTGTGTTTAGGGTTGTGTCTGCATCTGTCATTCTGTTCCACTGATCCTCAGGCCTGTTCTCCCCTTCCCAATACACCATGCTGATTTTATCACAGTAGCTTTGTGATATAATTTAGGGTCTGGGATTATGATGCTTTCTGACTTGTCTTAGTGGCCCAGAATTGCTTTTGCTATTCTAGGTCTCTTCAGGTTCCAAATGAATTTTAGGTATGTTTTCTCTAGAACTGTGAGGGATGCTAATGGTATTTTAATTGGGATTGCATTAAATCTGTGTAACAGTTTTGGAAGCATTGCAATTTTCACTATGTTGCTTCTTCCTGTCTAAGAGCAAGGGATATCTTTCCATTTTCTGATATCCCATTGATCTTTTTTTTTTTTTTAGGATACTACAATTTTTACTATACAGATCTTTTACATCCTTTGTTATATTGATTCCTAAGTACTTCAATTTTTTAGATGCTATTGTGAAGGATGTGCTTTTCCTAATCTCTCTGAGTTAGTTGCTTGAAGAACTTATTTTAGACTTTATGTGATGTTTGAGCTATTACACATTTTCGTAGCTTACTATGCCAACAAGCATTATCTTTTAGGGAGGTGATTATCTTTTAGGGAAGTAGCAAGTAGGTTAGAATTTAATAAGTACAATAATGAAATAATAAATGTTATACAAAGCAGGAGGAAGGAGCAGTCAATTCTGCCCAGAAAGGATTTTTAAAGTAAGTAATGTGAACTGGAGTATGAAGAATAAGTAAATAAGAATTTACTAGGAAACAAGTATGGGGAAAGGAACAGCATTCAGAAAAAAGGAAGATATAAACAAAGGCATGAATAAATATTAGTAATATGACCAGAAACATTTGCATATAGCTAACTGTGCTCCTGAAGGGAACAGTGGTTGTGAAGACCAAAACTGTGGCTTAAGGCCAGACTGGCACAACAAGAAGAATAAACAGTGAGTGTCACTAAAGCTTTCAAATGATAGTATAAGTCTACAAAGTACCTTGGATAGGGGAAAAATGAGATAGGAAAGTCAAGCAGGAAGTATCTGTCATGGACACGCAGAAAGGACAGTATTGACAAATGTTTCTGAGACAAAATTAATCTGAATAAATGTGGGAAGACTAGAAAAGAGGGAATGATATAGAGCAATTAAATGATGAAAGGTAATCCCCACACATTTATTTTAAAAGAATGAGTGAAGTCCAAAGGACAGAGCAAAGTAGATATTCTGAGATCAGAAACCACAAATAAAGTAGGAGACAAAGGAGGACTATAATTAGTTCAGTTTTAAAATTATTGAGTTTGAAATGCTTTTCTGAATTCCTTGAACAGATCCTGAAAGATTATGGGTCTGGCCTAACTTCTATTCACTATAGAACAGGTCATTTTTTTGAAAGTAAAAACATAAGGAAACCCCGAAGTATAAGTAGATTTCAAACCACCTTAATTTTGCTACTTTTAAAATCTGAGGTAAAAAATTGATAAAGTCCAATTAACAATTAAAAAGGGCATGTGGAATAAAAGGCCTTCGTTTTATGGTTTGTCAAGCAATCCATTTTCCCTTCCCACAGTTCTCAATATCAGCACTTCTTTGGGGCCCTTTCTGAGACTTTCATCCCACATACAAGCAAATATACTTAAATCTGCCTTCTCCCCTAACATGTATATGTATATGTCCATGTATATGTCCATATACATGTATATGTATATGTGTATCTATACACACACATTAGATCCTTTCACTTCCACACCAAAGGATATCTACTTACTTTAGAGTGGCTCCCTCAGTCTTAATCACATCTCCATCTTTCAGATAAACATACTGTTGTGCTCCATTTCCTATAATTTCTTCTTTATGGGGATTCCGTGGGAGCTTTTTAATGCAATAAGCAGTGTCTAGTTAGAAAACACATTAAGTTAGATTTAGATGACTCAGTCTTTAAATACTAAAGGACAACAGAAAAATGGGATGAATTAAAACACTTTATCTCTGGTCTATAAATATTTCATGTCTCTCAACAGAAGCGTTATTCTCCTATGCCCCTTTGTGACTTTCTAGTCATTTCTATTTTATACAAAAGTCTGAAAGTAGTTCTTTATAATCTCACCTAGCTCTGTTAATAGGAGAGACTGTAAAGAGGCAGTTTTATGGAACCTGAGAACTTTTCTTTATCCAGGTGCCTACATAAAATACAGAAATCATGGCAGTAGCTAATAAGAGGATTCTAGTGTAGCTTTTACTGTGAGTGCTAAAATAGAACCTTAAATCTGAGGTTAAGATATTTAACCTTTAACATATGTTTAAAACACACCACTCCCTGACTCAAACAAAATCAGCCCATTAATGGTTAAGCCCAATTATCTAACCAGTATACTATGTGTAGTGAATATATGTGCCATGGTATTGAACACTAAAAATCTGTCATGTTTGGAGGAAATGAACTTACAAAAGGAAACAAAGACCCATACTCATCACTATTGAGCTACACCTCCAGTTCCATACAGTTATTTTAATAGGAACAAATCCTCAGTCATTTTTTGATGTTTGAATAATACTTCCTAACATCACTGGGAATACTAATTTCAGCAGATACAAATGCAGTATTGTTTATACATTTACAATAATTTCTAATTAAAAATACATTATAATTGAACAGCATACATGCAAATAGTTGACTTTTTAAATATGTATTATAACATGGTCTAAATGTATAATATGTGACAGACACATACTTGGAGCTGCAATAATAAAACTATCAAGACATAAATACTCCATTCACCCCTATACAAAACAGCCACTGCCTTCTTTAACTTTATTCATTCCCTTTGTGCAGCTCTATTTTCCTTCACAGCACCTACCATTATCTGATCTATTTATTTACTACTACTTATCTTCCCCAAGTTATAGGTAGAGTATCCCTTATTGGAAATGTTTAGAAAAAGTTTTTTGGTTCTTTAGAATATTCACAAATATATAATGAAAGAGTTTGGAGATGGACCCAAATCTAATGCAAATTTGATTTGTGTTTCACATATACCTTCTACACAAAGCCCATAGGTAATTTTATACAATATTTCTGATGTTTGTATTCTGGTATGCAAGTACTATGCACAAATGTTTTATATTTTAAGGGATTTTGGGTTGTTAAATTAGGGATGTCCAATTTGTACAATGAAAGCTTCATGAGAACAGAGACTGTTTTGTTCACCGCTCTATTCCTTGTGCCAAGAACAATGACTGACACATAGTAGTCACTTGAATAGTTGTTGAATGAATGAATGAATGATGAATAAATTGAGGTGTATAATGTGGGATGAAAGTATAAGAATGAGGGCTAGTAAAATGTCACTGTGGAACAGGTGTCAAGACAGAATTATCAATTTAATAATATCTTGCCTTAACTGCAATATATCTTAGTAACTGCCTAGTTACTAAAGTTAGGGAAGGTTTGAGATCATCTGTTTATGTGTAGACAGTAATGGCATTTACCTCATTGTGTTTAAGTGTTCAGCACAGTGCCTGGCACATAGTAATTGCTCAACAATTGTTAATTAAAATTAACCTTACTATAGGGTGTTATGGCTCATGTGCTCATAAGTGGGGCTTTTGGGAGGTAACTGGATCATGGGGTATGACATGTGACCATGGGTATATGATACTGGATTAATCTACTGATTAGTTTAGCATAGTTCTGGGTGTGCTTATGAATTTACTGAAGAGGGAAGACATACCCCAGGTTTGGATGGCACCAAGCAATAGACTTGTGCCTCGATGGAATAAAAACAAAAAAACAAAAAAAGAAAAAACGAGGTGACAGACTGATGCTTTTTGCCTGCTATGCCATGGACTGCTTTTTCTCTGCCATGCTATCCTGGCTATGGACTAAAACCTCTCCAATCTGTAAGCTAAAATAAATGAGAATGACAGATAATTTAATTTTCCTCCTTTAATTTATGAGTGTTAGATATTTTGTAACTAAGACATAGGGAAAAATAAGATAAGAGGCTATGAAACAGAAAACGGGACTTTTAATTTCTTGTTTAAAATTAGAAACAATACTTAAATTTTATCAATTTATAAAAGTATCATTTAAATAAAAGGTATTTATGGCTTACTTAAATGATAATTTATTGCCCAATATCATTTTTGACAATGAACTTGACGAATATTTTCTCTTTACCATTAGTGATGCTTTTACAAATATCTCCTATGCCTCCAGAATGATCAAAATGCCAATGAGTCACTAGGATTTCCTGGATTGTTGTGTTAAATTCAACCAGAGCCTGTTTTAAATAGTTGATGTATTCTGGAGTTGATGGTTCTCCAGTGTCAATGAGGATTCTCCTGAAAATTAAATGGAAAGTAATTACATAATTTGGAACACATTTAACATGAGCATATTTCCCTCACAAACTACACTGAATTTAAGAAAGTTTATAAATTATTTTGCTTTCAACATGCTAGTGTTCAACTTCTTTGAAACAAATTATAGATAAATGTAAGTGTAAACAAGTAATCAAAGTAATCTTGAACACTTATATAGCAACTAAAATAAAACATGTCAGTGTTCCACACCACAACTGTTTAAGGAAGGTATTTCATTATTATATTAAGAAGTTAAATAACTTCTACAAATATATTATTATAATCAGAACTTACTCTGTAAACTCAGCATTCAAACCCAGATATTTGGATACTAGAATATATGCTCTTGTCTACCTGGCCTTCCAGATCTTTTATACAGTTCCACTAATACGAATGAATCTGATTCTTTACCATCCCTAAATAAAAGCTGCCTTTTGGAGTAGGTACCTAACACTGAAGTTTTATTTTTGTGCCCCTACACATCAAAAGGGCTGTAGGAAGCATAGAAACAAGATCTAGCTGTTTTATTTCTTTACTTCGACAATTCTGTTACATCATTTAGTTCATGTTTGCAATTCTTTCCTATACTTTTGTTTGCTTTCTTCACTATTAGGAAATCAGGATAACAATTCCCTTAAGAATCAGCTCATGAACTTAATTCATGCTGCTTCACAGTAACACCTCACTAATTTAAGGTGAGAGAAGACAGTCTTGATGAAAAACCTGAAACATTAATTCATTCATCAGGAAGGGTTTACAGATTACCGACTATGTACATGCCTTCATTTCACCCATAAAACAAGATAAGCAACACTGCTTATCTTTTAAAGAAGGGCGGGAATGGGGAAGCTGTATATAATTAAAAACAAAAAATAAAAGTAACAGCAGAGTAAAATAAGGTGGGTAGACAGGAAGCTATCTGATGGCTTTCCTCCCCACTCCCATGCACTGGCAATTGAACCTCGGGGTCTTGTGCAGGCCTGCACTCTGCCACTGAGCTATACCTTTACCTTGGATGGATGTTTTACACTGGATGGATTTGTTTCCCTGAAAGCCATGGCTAATGAAAAACAAACTAGCTTTATACTACTTTATAATTAGAAGCAAGTTTTGGTATGTTATCTACAGTAGTGTGATTATTGATAATAATGTACAATACATTTCAAAGTTAGAAGAATTTTCAAATTTTTGCCATAAATAAAAAAAGTATAACTGTTTAATCTGATTAACATTACACAGTAATACATGTACCAATGCATTACATGATACTCCATTACTATGCACAATTTTTATTTCCACTAATCAGTTTAAAAAATTTAAAAAATGAAACCTGGCATCTCACTGTAAAGGCGGAGGAGGGCAGTGGCCCCAAGGCCATCTGGACTCTATATCCTAAATTCTGTAGAGTAGTGGAACAGTGTAGAAGTAGTGTTGAAAGGTCTGTTCTGCGGATGCGTGACCAGAAGTTATACTGGTTCAAGGGGGCACTATAAGGTCTTGATTGCAGCACAAATGTAAGAAAGAAAATGTTTAGAAAACATTTAAAAGGTACAATCAACAGGCCTTTTTAAAACAGCTGGATGAAGAAAGGAAAAGGAAGGAAGAGAAAGAGTTGATCATTCTGCTATTTCTAGGTCATTGGTAGGTCATTAACAAAGACTATAAACACTGGAGGGAACAATTTGAGATTAACTAGATTTAGATAACCATCTCACCTTGCTGCCTCTCCAAAACAATTAGTATGCAATATATGTTTACACATATACTTATTGCCTATTTCTTTATCTTTTATCACTCTAAAAATGTGAGTTGTCCCACGATGGTAGGAATATTGTCTGTTTGGTTCAAGAAATTTAGGTTGTATTTCCGTATCTATAATACACTGTTTAATGCTTGGGCCATGTATAGATTTAGTTACACTAAATTCAAAATATATAAAACTATAACACTATAATTCTTCCACATAATCCCATATTTTCCCTATCACTATGTATCTGGAATTATTTGGTATTTACTTATCCCAAATTCTTGCTGCTTCGTAATTAGAATCACTTCAACTACTTTTGGGGTCTTCTGGTCTTTGAGAAGAATTTTTCCATGTTTTAGATCAAGATGTCTCAATTATTTTCAAAGGGCCCTTATTATATTTAAATTGGTGTCTTTCCTTCCGAGAAACTGTTTTGAAATATCTGGCAATTTAAAGCTGAATTTAAATCTCAGTATCTTAAATAAGGGTGAGATCCTATTGCTCTGGTCATAAGTCATCACAAAATAGCGTTAACACACAAATATGCTATAATCTCTTAGCAAACACCTTTTAGAATGCCTAGGTTGTTTGCAGGTCAAAGTTTGACTTATGACAGGTATTATGGTTTAGCTGTAAAGTGTCCTCCAAAAGTTTTTCAGAGGTGGGCTTTTGGAGGGTGACTGAATTATAGGGGCACTAAACTCATCAGAAGGTGAAAAACTCCAACAGGTAATGGTATTTCAAATGAGCCTTAAACGGTGAGGGAAAGATGAAAAGACTGTATATTTAATTCCCCACGCAGAAAAGATGCAAGTCATCTAAACATACATAGGAAAGCCAGCATGACTGGAATGACGACAGATTTGAGATGAGCCTGCTGAGGCAGGTGGGAGCCAAAATATGCAATGCTTTTCCACTTTCATGTTTAAAAAGTTACTCTGGTCACATGTTGGTGGATCAACTGAAAATGGGACAAAGGTCGATGCAGAGAAGCCAGTCAGAAAGATATTATAGTAGCCTGTGCAAGAGGTGAACTGGCTTTTGGACTGGCTGATAGCAGCGGACATGGAGAGATCTTCAAAGGGAATGCAAGTGTGGCAGGAAGCAAAGAAATGTCAGGGAGTTACTTAGGCATTATCTCTCATCAAATACACGGATAGTTTTGTTTACCAACATAGGGATGACTGGAGAAGGGCCTGGTTTAGTATGAAAGACCATGAGTTCAGTCTGGGAAATGTTTCAAATGGCTGAGTCATGGAAGAGTGTAGATTTAAGAAACCCGTTAGCTATCTCATCATTCTACTTCATGAATGTATGTGATAATGTTAAGCAGTATCAGATGAGAGATCATGAATTTGCTTTCTTCAGTTACTGTCAAATTTTTAAAAATCTCTTTAGCACAGGCACTTTGCTGTGTCAAGTGTGAGTCTAGTGTTTAAAGATACAGTATGTTATTTTTCATACAACATGGCCTCTAAATGCAAGTCAATTTCTTCATCTGGTTTTCAAACCATCTGTTTCTGGCTGAAAAAGAATGTTGTGTTGAGTTTACTAAGAGCATACCCTAATTGCCACCATGGTGGTCTCCTAAAAGTTTTTCAAGGGCAATTCTGACTATATGTAATCTTTTTCTTAGGTACTGATTTTAGACCTTGTTTAAAATGACCCTGTGAAGGAAAAAATGCCTGTGGACTTACTGGATGGGGGGAGCCCAACTAAGACATCTCTATACATGAGACAAGTTATTATTATTGTTTTTCTGCTTCGTTAGCTATTCCCCTGGATTCTTGAAGCAGACTAAAGGTCTTGTACCTACTTTACCTTGCCATGCTTACTTTGGACTTAAATCTTTTGCCTACAAGAGTTTCAGTATGTAGTCTCTCCTGTTCTCCTGCTCTAGAAATTCTTATATACTGAAAAAGGGTAAATACTGTAGATACTTCAAACAAAAACTCAATAAATTACATTTCACACGCAACTGTAACAAAAACCAAAATTAGTTTTACGGTCAGTGCTTCCTTCCAAGGCTCGGTATGATCTATTGCGTTTTACCAAGTCAAGTAAGTTGGAAGCAAGAAAATCCCGCCCTCTGTCGCTGAGTTAAGGAAATGTTGCCAGAACAATTAATGAGTCCAGACCAGGTAGTCAAGACAGCAAAGCACTGCCTAATTTTCTTGGACTCCAGGAGATTCTAATTAAACATGGTCGCCTGGGGACTTAAACGTTAAGTAAAGTCTCAGAGGCAAGACTTTGCTTTTTCTTTCTGTTTTCTAAATTGACTTTGTCCTCGGTTAGAACGGTTACCAGCTAGTTACGTGGTCGAGCACTGGGTCCCAGGTGCGTCCCTGCACGCCCCGCAGCCCGCGCTCGGCCTCTCCGCCGCGAGCAGACGCCACAGGCGAAGTTCCTCCGCTGCGCGACCGGCAGCCCAGAGCGTACCCTGTGGGGGTAGGGACAGGACGTTTACCTGGAGCCGCTTCCCACCAAATAGGTGTTGGTGCCTTGTAGGGTCATAGGACCTGGATTACAGCCTAACACGCGCACCACCCGACAGGAGAGCTTCTCAATATGCGGCAGTGCAACAGCCATCTCTGATTCAGCTTTCCACTTGAAACAGGCTTCCCCAGCGCGGAGTCAAATAGGAGGTCGGCTGAGTGCCGAGAGTCACGTGACACTTCGTGAGCCAGTAGGGATGCGCATTAGCCGCTGGGCGGGGCGGGGCCACTCGCAAGTCCCGGGCGCCACTGAGTCGGGGCGAGATTTAGCAGCGGGGCGGGGGCGGGGCCACAGACCACGTGAGGCCGCGTGGTTTGCGGAAACCGCGGCGGCGGGAATGGATTCGCTGGTTTCTTGGCGCGTGGCTCAGGTGGCCTGAGGTGGCGCTAGACGAGGCTAGAAGGTGGAACTGTGGCGCAGCAGGGTACCGATGCCTCAGAGCACTTTGTGCTTTGGCGAACAGGTTTGGCTGAGTGGAGGAGAGACACTTTAACCAAGGATGGATCAAGGAGCCGGCAGATTGAGTACCAAGTCCTGGAAAGTACTGCTGCTCAGGTTTCAAAGGGAGTGATGGAGTGCCTCTTTTCTAAGTAGTGATAACTAATGCTAAATATGATGTTTAGTTCTGTGCTGAGGTGCTGTTTGCACACACACAATCCTCAAAGCAACCTGAAGAGGCACTATTTTGTCTCCATTTTATAAATGAAAAACGAAGGTTGGGAGGCTTTCCCAGATAACAGCTCTGTGAACAGTTCTATGCTTCCTGCTATCTCCCTCACACCAGCTCCGTCCCTCCTGTACGAGTGTAATTTTGAAAGGGGGTGATGGTGGTGAGAGCTGTACAGTCTGAGGAAGAGCTCCATTTACAAAAGTACTGCTCCATCCTCTTCTGTGCTTTACGTCTCCCAGGGAAGTAAGGTTGGCTGTAGAGTTGTGCCCAAGAAGGAAGTGTCTTGTTTTCTAACAAGACCTATTCTAACCGGGCCAAGTTAGAATACTCCAATTTTAAACCCTGAATTTTAAGTTACCTAAAAAAATGCAGTCCTGTGAATAATTCCTTCGAATTGCTAGAATTATATTAACTACTACTAAAGAGATATAGAACATAGTCACTGTGCCATTCTGCACTGTAAATCCTTTTATTAGTACATGTTTATGGTCCATAATGTTTACATTCCTAGTGGGGAGTTGGTACATGTTCGCATTTTAACTACTTTTATCATCCCCTTTGGCTTCCTTTGTTCTTCCCTCTTCTCATCACTTGATCCCCCTTTTTTGTGTGTGCATATTAACAGTACGTAATGTTGTTGTTTGTGTAGTTTTTTTTTTTTTAACAAAATGAGCAGTTGAAAAATTAGGATATTTTTAGCATTTTTAGAAGAGACTTCTTGCTACATTTAGGTTACAAGTCAGTTTAATATTTCAAATCAGTTGAAAAACATTTGTGAGAAACTTGTCTCCTGTCCCAAAAATTACACTCAATGGAAAATTTTCAAAAATTGCTACTGAATTAATCATTATAATTCATCTTTGGGATAAATGATATACTTTTTAAAAATGCTTGGAGTAACCATCAAAATCTATCAGACATTTTCATCCTACCATATTTATTTATAGCCATCAATTAATGGCTATTCAGGCAGCAACTACTTTTATTCTCTTTAAGATCATTACTGGAAAGTCAGTGAACCCTGGAAAAGGCGATGAAGTAATAATTTCTGAGTTATAGTCTTCCTGAGACTTTGAGCAACACCTTCTCCCACCTTTAAGTCATCACAGTATCCTTTGTACTTTCCATCATGACTTCATTTAATCCATCATCAGGATTTTTACTTGACAGATTAAGAAACTGACTCAGTGAGTGTGAATAAAGTGATTTTCAAGGTCATATGAGGATGTGGTAGATCAGAAAGAATAGCGAACATGTATTAAAGGACTTGAAGTTGAGGCCAGAGATATAGCTCATTGGCACAGTGCCTGCCTGTCAGGAGTGAGTTTGTAAGTTCAATTTAGCAGTACCAAAACAAAACAAAAACAAAACAAAAACTTTAAATTGAGGTCATTGTGGGATATTGTATATAGATTGAGCTCAAAAGTGAGTCTAGACTATAGATGAAAAACGAATCTGAGAATACATTTAGCAATGTGACTTAAAGTGTAAGTTTTTCTCCAAGAAATAAGAGCAAAGATTTTTACATTCTGTTTAGTTATGTTTATAAGCATTTATTATCTGCTTATAATATGAAAGTATTATAGGCATATAGGGAGTGTTAAAATGAGTAAATTAGTCTCTGGGTAAATTAATCTCTGAGGGTCGTAACCATGAAGTAGATGTACATGACGTTACTTTAAAATGTGAATAAATCCTCAAAAAGTACAGTTTCTAAAAGGATGGAATTTCTAGAAGGAAGGGAAGGATCCTATTTATTGGGAAGATCTGGGAAACCTCAAAGATGGTGAGTTTTGAGCTGATTCTTTAAGGATTGGCGGAACTTCATCAGATAGTGGTTACATGTAGATGATAAGTGAACTTGAGCAAGGTTTAGAAATAGGAGAAATGAAGTGTTTATTGTGGGAAATGCTGTAGTGTATATCTGGAATGTCTCCCAAAGGTCCATGTGTTTAAGGCTTGAGATGGCAATGGGAAGCAGAGAGAGAGATCAAGGAATGAAGGAGGGAGATGACCTTTCTAGGCCACACCTGTTGTGACAAAACTCCACAGACCATGCTTCGCCTCCCAGCATCACAGTTAACCATAAACACATCAGTGGACTCCTCATTTATGAATATCATGTGCCCATGATCCAATCACCCCCCTCAAAGTTTTGGAGGATATGTAGATATAAAAGGCAACTGCCCCAGCCCCCCAAGAGACTCATGTCCATCCCTTTATGCAAAATGCATTTAGTCTATCTCTTAAGAGTTGCCAAGGTCCTGACTGTTTCAGCATTGCCAAACAGTCCAAGTTCAGTGTATCCTTTGAGATTTAAAGCAAACTAGTAGATGTAATCCCATATAGAAATGAAAAGAAATTTAAACACTTATAATAATAATGGTACAAGATAAACATTACCATCTAATGGGTACAAATATGAAGATAGGAATGAGACCAAAGCAAGACCTAAATCTAGCATGTCAAACGTTAAAATCCAGAGGTTTATATGTAACACCTGGGGCAATCTGTGGCAAGACATGAACGCCAAAAGGCTTGGACAGTCCTGCCCCTCTAGTGTTGCTGGTGTTTGTAGTCCCTTTGGATTCTCTCTTTGTCATCTTTTTTCACTCCTTGTAACTTTCCTCAGAACCTTTCCTCCAGGTTCCTAACTTCTCCAGCGTTCTGAGGTCTCCACTTTGCTTACTTCACTCTTGCAGCTTCATATATTGCCCTCTCAGAAGCACACTGCCTGGCCTTCCAAGCTTGGTCAGGGTGGAAGCCTCCCTGACCCCACATCTCTTGCATTTTGCATATGTAAAACCAGTACCATGTTAGTGATGTCAAGGTCTGCCACCTGCTGGAGCAGTAGCCAGGCTTCCTGCAGTCACAGGTATGGGGAGTCTCTAAGTGCGCAGGTGACAGATCACTATGAACTGAATCCTGAGGAACAAATTCCTTAGGCAGACACTAATCTGGAACCTTAGGGTTCTCTTTTCAAAGTGAAGTCATTTACCTTTGCAAGTTTGAGCCTATGACAGGTAGGGTTTTGCTGGTTTCTCATACCTCAAGGTATTTTTTTCTATTATACATTTCCAAAGTACTTGGGTTCTTGTTAATACTAATCCTTTTAGCAATCAAATTATCTTCTGTTTCATCTTTGCAGGCCCCAACTTTACCAAATCTGCCTTTCTCATCAAACTGAAAACTTTTTAAGTGATTCTGCTGGTTGCTCTTGCTTCTCAAAGTTGAGCAGGCTAGAAGCCCACTAGAGCAACTGTGCCACTGTTTCAATATTAGGCTGCCTTGAAATTTCTTCCACAATGTTAATTAGTTTGCTGCCCTTAATCTTAGTCTATGGTGGTGTCTCAGGACAGGACCAAAATGTAGACAACTTTTCTGACAGAGGATAACATACATGGCCTAGAGTCAAACCCCCAATGGAGTCTCTTCCCAACTGAAACCTCATAAGCCTAGCCACATTTTTATCAGCGTTCTGCTGTGAGCTCTGACCAGAATCTCCTATGAAGCTCAGCTTACTTCATTCTAGGATTGCTTCTCCAGATGACATCTCCAAACCTTTCCAGACTCCTGCAAACCAATTCCAAAGGCTTCTAAATCACGTGAACAGATAACATCACAGCAACACCACCACTTCTCTGGTACTAAAATGTGTTTTAATTATTTTGTCATCACTGAGAAACCTGACACCCACAAATTAAAAGGAAGAGAGGCTTATAGTTTGTGGAGTTTCATTTCATAGTCAGCTGGCTCTAAGGCAGGATGGAATGGAAGTGGGACATAGCAGAGGAGAAAGAGTTCATGACGTGTCAGTGGGAGGCAGAGAGACGGATTAAAGGATAAGGGAGGGAGATAAGCCTTCTATGCCACACCTGCAGTGATCCAGCACCACAGAGAAGGCTTTACTTTGAAACATCATATTTAGCTATAAATTCATCAGTAGAGAATCTACTTAATGCATACCACATCCTCATCATCCATTGACCATTCCAAAGTCTCATTTATGAGTGCATAAGATTTTGGGGGACAATTAGATATAAACCACAACAAAGACTAAGTTAATGATAATTTGTAAATTCTTTATTAGAGTATTTAAAATTTACTAATATGAATATTTGACAAACATGGCTTGTTACTTGGATATGCTGTGAACAAATCATACATTCTTAAAACTTAACTGACAAATACATTTAGTCTATCTCTTAAGAGTTGCCAAGGTCCTGACTGTTTCAGCATTGCCAAACAATCCAAGTTCAGTGTATCCTTTGAGATTTAAAGCAAACTAGTAGATGTGATCCCATATAGAAATGAAAAGAAATTTAAACACTTCTAATAATGGTACAAGATAAACATTACCATTCTAATGGGTACAAATATGAAGATAGGAAATTCCCCACAGATTGCTGAGACATAGTCTGTAATTTTACAGAACTTATTTATATTTAAAATAACCTTATATGAAATTTTAGCAGAATTGTTGCCTTTTAGACAAGTTTTGCT